AGACGCTCTGAAAATCACTGCTGACACACACACACACACACACACACACACACACGCTTCAACTCATTAATGCACTGCAATAAGTGTGTGGAAAGAGCAGGGACAAACGTCAAACCTTCTAAAAGTGTGTGTTATGATGCTTGCTCTATTATACAACATTGATAAAATGGTGTTGTGTAACTAAGAGCCGACTGGAGAAGAAAAATAACTTATGATTTTAGAACTTGTCTTTAATGTTTGGACAAATAAAAAATAGTCTGTGCTGATGAGATAGATCTGGAATTTCCTGAATATTTTGTTGAAACGGATCAGTGGGGTTCTATATAGAACCTTTAGGGTTCTAGACTCAATTTCAAAGAACCATTTATGCCAGAAATACTTTAAATTATTGCATAATACTTTCATGTTTTATGAGTTATTTCTGATAAAGTATGTTACAAAATTTTACTTAATGAAATAACTTGATAGACAGACAGATAGATAGATAGATAGACAGATAGATAGAAAGACAGACAGATAGATAGATAGATAGATAGATAGACAGACAGATAGATAGATAGATAGATAGATAGATAGATAGATAGATAGATAGATAGATAGATAGATAGATAGATAGATAGATAGAGATAGATACTTTATTAATCCTTCTCAGGAAATTAGATTTGTTACAATAGAAGCAACCACATTAATTTCTCACACAGACAACATTAATCCCTTATACATTCATAAAACAAAATGCTTTCACTAAAGCATTCTATAACATATAATATATTAATTAAAACATGCTATATCCTATAATGATAATATTAAAAACAAATACACAAACAAAATAAACTAAAGCACACAACCCTTATTTTAATCATGTTTTACATTTTAATAACCCCTATTTTAATTAAAACTATGTCCATAAAATGCTCCCATTAAGGGTACAAATGAAGCGCCGCACTGAAGACTTCACAGTTCTATAACGAAGCTTTTCTTCTAGTGATATTTGCATTAGATCCTTAACACAACTTTAACTTTGCATTGTAGGCCTATAAGTTTGAGGTCATTATCAAAACAGAGCGTTGCACTGCTAAAGCACTGCCGTTAAACAAACACTCTCACACACACACACACACATGGATGAAGTGAATCAGGCTGTGTAAAGCAGCGTTGAGTGTGTGTCGGCATCAGCGTGGAGGTCGTGTGTCATAAAGACCCTCTGTTGTGTGACGGTGAAGTCAGCGTTTGCCTCGTGCGTCGGGATGGGTGTGTGTATCCAGAGTGAATGAAGCTCTGTGTCGACATACACACCTTCCCTCTCACACACTGATCTTCAGAGCTCTATTAGAAAATGGCACAAAAGCATATGTACCATTTATGTACTAATATGTACACTTTTGGTACCAATATGTACCGTTGAGGTACTAATATGCACTCCTCGGGTACAAAGGTGTAGCTTTTGAAAGGGAACCGCCTCCAGTGACAGCTTTTGGACCTTTTTTTCTGAGTGTATTGCTGATACTTCGGGTTTTTGTCAATCACACTTTAAAATAGGCCTGTACTTAATTCTCTCTCTCTCTTTGAGCAATAGCTACATTTATTAGTCGTGATGAAAGAGAATTTGTGATAGTCTTTTCTTCATTATTGTGACGTATATCCGAGTGAAACGGCTTCACAAATAAAAACAAATGTGGGCGGGGCTTGATTTTGTGGTGAATTGATTGGATGGTTGTGATTTGCTATTGGTGGATCTGATGTGAGTGACAGGTTGCGCCGCCCTCGTCATCAGAGAAGTTACTTTGATTAAAGATTACAAGGAATATGAAATTTAAAAATATATATATATGCACGGATAAATGATTTATAATAGATACAGCTTTATTCCGTTATAAAATGAGAATTGTCCATTTTGATTGCATTGTGACTTTAAGAAGTTAATTTTGCTTAACCGTGAACAGTGTGAGGTAAATAATTATGGCTGTAGGCGTAAAACGAAGGTTTAAAGTCCCCCTGTGGTGAAAATCCAGCTTTTAATGTTGTTTATATGTCTATATGGTGTTTTTAATATGCTTTAAGACAAACCATGTGTAAGTTCATAAGTCGACAGCATTGCTGAGTATTTTCTCCTTAAAACTGCAGTGAACCAAAGACAGTCTCAAAAACACGGTTTGAAATCGCTGACGTCACACACTACCTTGTAACCAATCAGATCAACGTGTGATGTCAACCAGTGGATCTCTGAGCTGGAGTGAGTGAGTGGAGGCGGGGCTCATTTGCATATTCATAGAACCTTACATACTAAATGAGGGAAGGGTTACATTCAATCTATTTTAAGGCATTATAACATTTTTTTAAGGAAAAAACATTTAAATATGTCATTTCGGTGATCAAATATGAGTTTTAAGGGATACAATGATTGACTACAGGGAGACTTTAAAATGAAGACCAAGCAGAAGTCACCGATTTGGAAATGGGCGGGGCCAACATTGCCCGCATTTTGACTTCAGCAAATCAC